CATGTATGGTATATACCACATCTTATTTTATTTTATTTTTATTGTTATTATTATTATTTGAGACAGAGTCTCACTCTCTTGCCTGGGCTACAGTGCTGTGGCATCAGCCTAGCTCACAGCATCCTCAAAATCCTGGGCTCAAGCGATCCTCCCGCCTCAGCCTCCAGGGTAGCTGGAACTACAGGCATGTGCCACTGTGCCCGGCTAATTTTTTCTATTTTTAGTTGTTTGGTTAATTTCTTTCTATTAATAGTAGAGACAGGGTCTCGCTCTTGCTCAGGCTGGTCTCAAACTCCTGAGCTCAAGCAATCCTTGATTGCTCAAGCAATCCCACCTCCACCTCCCAGAGTGCTAGGATTATAGGTGTGAGCTGAGCCACCATGCCCGGCTGGTGTATACCACATTTTATATATCCATTCATCCATTGATGGACATCTGGGTTGTTTTTATCCTTTGGCTATTCTGAATAATTCTCTTTTTTGATTTCCTGCTTTCAGTTATTTTAGGTATATACCCAGAAGTGGAATTGCTGGTAGTAGATCCTTTTTTATAAATTTTTATGTATTTATTTTTGAGATAGGATCTTGCTCTATCAGCCAAGCCTGGAGTGCAATGGCACAATAATAGCTCGCTGAAGCCTCAAACTCCTGGGCTCGTGTGATCCTCCCACCTCAGCCTTCTGAGTAGCTGGGTCTATAGGTGTGTGCCACCATACCTGTCTAAACCCATCTTTAAATTAGTGAGCCACCCTTCTCATCTCTAAGGGTCTGATATGATGCTAATTGGTTTTGTGGTTAACCTTATTGGAAAACTGCTGTTTCTTTTTGCATCTCAAATGTTCCCTCTGGGATAATTTATTTTTATCTTCTTGGTACACATCCGGTAGAGATTTCTTCAAGAAAGAGTCTGCTGGTGGTAAATTCTGTTTTTATTTATTTGAAAATGTCTTTTTTCACCTGTTTTCTTGAAAAAATAATCTTGCTGGGTATACAGTTCTGTATTTACAGATAGTTTTCCTGTCTTTGAGCACTTTAAATCATTCCAATGTCTTCTGGTTTCTACTATGGCTGTTGAGAAGTGTGTGACCAGTTTAGTTTCTACTCCTTTGTAAATGATCTGTGCTTTCTCTGTAATGTTTGAGATTGTTTCTTTGTCTTCATTGTCCTGCAGTTTCATTGAAATGTATCTTGATGTGGATTTCTGTATATTTATCCTTCTTGGCATAAGTTACAGTTCCTATATTTGTGAATTCTTGTCTTTTATCAATTCTTGAAAATTGTCAACCTTTTTCTCTTTGAATATTGCCTTGCCCTCATTGTTTTCTCTTCTCCCTTTATGGGATTCCAATTTGACATATGTTAGAACTCCTTGTTCTTTGTTTCTTAACTTTTCTATCTGCTTGTCTCTGCTGGATTCTGAAGAAGTTCTTCAGATCCATCTTTCAGTATACTAACTCTCTCTTCAGCTATATCTTCTGTTTAACCAAGCATTGCAATTTTAGTTATAATGGTTACATACATTTTAAATTTTAAACCTGCTGATTATTGTTTCTGCTGATTCTCCTTCATGGTAGTTTGAATCCTTATATAGTTAGTACTTTTTTTGTGAATTTATACTTGGCTGAATTTAATCCAGCAGACTGGATTGAAGATGCTTTCCGCAGAAGAAATTTTTCAGGAGAAGGAGAATCAGCAGAAACAATCATTGAAAAATTTAAATTTTGAAGGATTTCAGAGTTTGGAATAATCACATAAAGGAGCTATTGTAAAATGTTTAAAGAAATAAAAGATGGAATAGAAAAAAAGTGAACAAGGAATAAAAGATGATCAAAAACACCCAGACAGATTTAGGAAAAAAAATAGAATATCAAGAAATTTTAAAATGTTTTCATTTCCATTAAGAATGCAGGCCAGGAGTGGTGGCTCACCCCTGTAATCCTAGCACTCTGGGAGACCGAGGCGGGTGGATCGTTTGAGCTCAGGAGTTCGAGACCAGCCTGAGCAAGAGCGTGACCCTGTCTCTACTAAAAATAGAAAAAAATTAATTGGCTAACTAAAAATAAAATAAAAATAAATAAATAACATGAAAAAAAAAAAAAAAGAATGCGGCTGCTTTGAGAATCACAGCTTTATGGGGAATAGGGTTGTCTCAGATTCACTCTCTTGTCTCCTTAGGCCCCAGGGCTTATTCTGGGGTTCTCCTCCAACCCTCATATGTCTACCCAGTCCCCAAAGCTCTAGGTTTCTAGTTAGTTAACCTCTCTGTTTATTTGCTGTTTACTTTTTGTTTTGTATTGGTTTATTTTGCTGGTTTCAGGGGGATGCCCTTGGGGATTATCTTTATTTTCTTGGGAACTCACTAATGAATTTTAAAACATATGTTTTTTGTGCTTTCTATAGCATTTAGGTGTTCTGCTATGAGAGGTTTTGAAAATATCAAATCTGTCCTACTACTGGAAGAATATTTTTAAAACAAACAAAAAATGTGAATATATCATACATATTGTTTTATAACCTACTTTTATCCCCATTTGGTATATGATAAACATCTTCATATTAATAAATGTTATTAATAAATGATGTCTACATTATCATCTTAATGGCAGCATAGTTTTCTGTTGCATAATTTATTCAATCTTTTTTCTATTATTGGATATTTAGCACTCTATTTTTTCACTATTATAAACAATACACTTCAGTGAATATCCTTATAACTAAATCTTGGCATGTACCATCATCTTCTTTACTGTTTAACTGTTTATAAAATTAATACATGCTCAATGTAAAAGAAAATTCAAACACTAAGGAAAATGAAAATTTTCCATACTTCTTTTTACTGTAACGTCAGTTAATACGATTTGATCTATAATTAGAATCTCTTAATCAAACAACAGATGAGAATTAAGACGAGAATATGCAAGAAGAGAGACCATACCCACCCCATTCCCCTACCCTTCCAACAACCAGGGAAAGGGAACCAGAGTTCATACTATGGATGAACTGAAGGTAATTAGAGACAATTAGAAGCAGAGAACTGAAGGAAGAAGAAATACCCAAGTAGACTCCAAAAGCCTGGGGCAACTGTGGTCAGAGGCACCATGCCTCAGGAAAGACCAGAGCTCCAAAATCCATAATCCACTCTGCCTGGGCGCACCCTCCTCCCCTCTCTGGAAGCCAGGGATCTTGCTAGGCATTTTCTCTAGGCTCTTCTCCCTGCCCCTCCTTCTTTTAAAGGGACTTAGTTTATTTTGAATCCAGAAGTATTTTAAGCCCTGACACTGTACCCAAGCCTATGCTTCATAGCGTCTATCCCTGATTCTTAGGGTCCTGTCCCAATCTGAAGACACCCAGCCATGAAAAGGTCTTTAAACACCTTTCCATAACTCCTTTCTGCCTGTTCACCTCAAGTGGAGGTATTGAGCCCAGGGTCTTCTTTGTGTAGAGAATCATGAAGGGAGTAGCTGCCCTTTCTGGTGGCTCTCAGCTTTTCTGACTCTAGGGGTTTTTGTTTTGTTTTGTTTTGTTTTGTTTTTTGAGGACCTGCTACCCTTCTTCCTCTCTTAGATTCTGTAAGACACCAATATATTTCTATACTAATGCCTAGTTCAGGTAGATTCTATCAACTAGGGTTGAGAGCCCCCAGACCATAAAGGAGCCCAATCTCCTCCTTCTTCCCAATGAGTATGGAGCTCCACCTGGGGTGATTAGTGTTTTAAGGAAGGCTCAAAAATTTTGGTTGTTTATTTGTTCATTCAATCCAACAAGTATTTATTGGACACCTACCATGTACTGGCTTTTAATGAGACTACAGTCTAAGAATTCCTTAAATAGCCCCAAAATAGCATCAGCTAACCCCACCAGAAGTCATGGTGTGGATCCTGGAGTTGCCAGTTGTTCTAGAAAACACAGTTAACTGCTGGTCACTTCTGCTCCAACCCTGCAGAGCCCATGGACCACTGGACAGAATGGAAAGCACCTTGCATTGGTGAGTACCTTTCAGGGGAGCTGATTCACTGGGTTGGATCTCCCCGTGAAGGAATGAGTGCCTAAGACTGGCCCTGTCTAGTTCCCACAACCTCCAGCCATGGTCAGGTCTCGGGAAGGCAAAATACAGACCCCTTCTGCTTACTCTAAATCCTTAAGGCGCTCTCTATGCTCCTGAGTTCTCAAAGAGTCCAGAGCAAATGCTTGTTGGAAAAATGAATTAATCAGGGTATTTGCATGGAGGAGTTGCCATGAGAGGGAGAAGGCAGGAAAATGCTGAGGTGCTTCCGCTGCAGTGTACACCACAATGTTGGCAACCCTCTGGCTGGCCTAATACATCCAGCCTGACCACAATGCCCTGGAAGTGGGTCTTGGGCCTACTAGCTCCAGGAGCTCCTGCTTATAGTGCAAGTAAGTCCCTATCAATGTCAGGGCTTACCTCAGCAAGAGCAGCTACCAGGTACGAGGCAGGAATACAGATAGGGATCCTTCACTACCCTGGATGCTGCTTCACACCTTCCCCAGCCACCTGCACAACCAGCTGAGTGGTACAGCTCTGAAGCCTATGTGAAAATGCACTAATGTGATGGTTCAGAGCCAGGCTCTAAGTCATTTCCACATGGGTTTAGGCAAGATACTTAAGCTATCAGTGCCTCAGTTTCCTCATCTATAAAAAGGTAAAAGCTAATATGTGTGCCTGGTTTGTGGTAAGCTTTACAGATTGTTGATCATGATCTTAGGGCAGCTGTGGGAGAGCTGAGCCCTAAAACCATAAAACTCTCCTTCCAACCCAAGGCCTGGTGGTGGTGGAGCTGGGAATCCCGTGGGAAAAGAGAGGGACACAGGCTGAAGGACTGGCTTGATTTTGGGGTCCTAGAAGGTGAGGACTTTTTCCTTGGCACCCTCAATGCCCAGCTACACCTAACCTGGCCGGGGCACCCGCAAATGCACAGGGAACACTGGGCAGAGAGAAAAGCCCTAGCTCTCCCTCTGCTCCACCCCGGGGGCGGGACTGAAGAGGCGCTTCTAGGGGAAGGAAGTTGTTCAGTCACTTGGTGTAGGGGTGTCGGCCTGACCCGGGAAGCGGAATCCCTGCCTTGGTCTAGAGATTGACTGAGACCCTTTCCCCTTCTCTGCCAAAACCGCCCAGCCTCCATCGGTGAGGCTTGCAGCTTCCAGAAGTCCCTCGTACCTTCCAACCTAATGTTTTCGGTCAATTCACGGTGAGTGGGGAGGGGGACGCCAATCTGCAGCCTCCGCGTTCACACACAGGGCTCCTAGAGGACGCGCGGGTCCGAGAACACCTGTGCGCCCCCCGACCGAGCGCTGGCGGAGGGAGGCTGGGGGTTGTACTGGCGGTGCCGAGCCGCTGGGATTGGGGGGAGCAGCGCATGTGGGGCACGGCCGCCGGCTAGTAGGGGAGACCCCTCTCTCAGGTCCAGTGGCGGCTCCGTCCCCCTGGTGTCCCACGAGGAATTGGAGAATCCGAAGTTGGTCGGGCGAGGCGGGTTCGGCGCGGTGTTCCGGGCGCATCATAGGTTGAGACGCTGCGATGTGGCAGTCAAGATCGTGAACTCGTGAGTGACCCGAGCTGCGAACTGGCGGGGTCTGGTCAAGGAGGTGGAGCCGCTGTGCTATGGGGCCTGAATGGGGAAGGGAGGGATCTTCCCCCGGCCGCGTGTAACTGCCGCTCTCTCCTGGAGTGCAGGGAGGGTATACGCAGGGAGGTGAAGGCCATGGCAAACCTGCGTAGCGAATACGTGCTGCTTCTCCTGGGGGTCACCGAGAACCTGGAGTGGGACGGCGAGTCCCGGCCGGGTCTGGTGACTGAATTCATGGAGAACGGCTCCCTGGAGGGGCTGCTACAGCCCCGTTGCCCTCGGTCCTGGCCGCTCCGCTACCGAGTGCTGCAGGAAGTGGTGCGCGGGATGTGTTACCTGCACAGTGAAAATCTCCTGCACCGGGACCTCAAGCCCTCCAACGTCCTCCTGGACCGAGATCTGCGCGTCAAGGTCAGTTCATCCATGTCCCAGCCCAGCTGTGGGACGAGGCCAGCCCAAGAGCTGCTGCAGTCCCTACCGGCCACCTGTCTATTGAATACCCTCAGCCTCTCCCGCTGGACACAGGCTGCCCAGGGGTCAAGGCGCAGCCAGGAGTCTTACCCCCTACCACACCAGCTGATAGAGGCCCTGAGCCCCCGAGGCAGTTCCACAGGCCCACCTTACCAGGTCCTCGGAAGAGCCGTGGCTGACCTAGCCCAGGACACTCAGACCCTGACACCCACAGGAAACCTAGATCTCCCACCCAAGGGCCCCACTGCCTCTAGCCTTCCTCTGACCTTTCAGACCCCTTCCACAAAACTGGACCTGCACCTTCTGGGGGAAAGGGAGTTCTGGAGACTGCCTGATCCCCCCTTGTCTCCCCTTCTCCCCCTTCTTCCCTTCCTTTGCAGCTGGCAGATTTTGGCCTGTCCACATTTCAGGGAGGCTCATGGTCAGGGGCAGGGTACACCAAGCCAGGGGGCACCCTGGCCTACTTGGCCCCAGAACTGTTAGCTAATGTAAACCGGAAGGCCTCCAAGGCTAGTGATGTCTACAGGTAAGCTACCCACCGCAGACACACAGCCCAGATTCCTACACCTCTCCGGGCTCTTCTATGGGTTGGTGTATGAGAGACGAGTCTCATAAGTGCTTGGGCCAGACCTCAGCTTTGTGTCTCTTGCAGCTTTGGTATCCTCATGTGGACAGTGCTAGCAGGAAAAGAAACTGACAGTAAGACTCTAGGCAGACTCTGGGATCATTAAACCCAGGTGCCCTCCTCCCCAAAACCCCCAAGACTTCCCCTTCCTGCTTACCCACCTAGACTGCCTGCTCCCTCCTCACATACCCCTGGGAATATACTCCCTGCCTCTTTTCATGATGCAGCAGGCGTCCCCTCAGACCCTGAATGCCTTCTTGTCTCACCCCTACCCTCACCCCAGTGGTGTCCCAGACATCACTAGTGTGTGAAGCAGTCTGTGAGAGGCAGATCCGGCCTACATTGGCCGACCTGCCCCCATGCGGGCCTGAAACTCCTGGCTTAGAAGGACTGAAGGAATTAATGCAGGACTGCTGGAGATCTGACCCCGAGGACAGGCCCTCCTTCCAGGGTGAGCTGGCCTTTTCGCTGGCAACTGTGGTAGGCTTGGGTCTGGCAGCAGGCTTTTCCCAGGGAAAGGAGTTTTGCTCACCTGCGACCCACTCTTCTGTCCCTCCAGAATGCCAACCAAAAACCGAAGAAGCCTTCCTTCTAGTGCGGAACAAGATAGGTGCCTCTGTCACCATGGTGAGCACCCGGTAACTCCCACCCCCAGGAGCTAGTCAGGGATGGCACAACATGGCTGCCTGGCCATCTAATGTCTCCCCACTGACCACTGCTTTTTATGCCTTGACCCTCATCCCCACCCTCCCCACACCATCCCTGAGTTCCCAGGCAACAGATTATGAACCAAAAGACCACTCCTCTGGGTTTGTTTACTCTGGCTCTCCCAAATCATGCCCAGCAGGCTCCTCCTATCCCTGCAGGTAAAGGAGTTTCTGTCTGAGCACAGGAGCAGCAGCAGGACATTATCTGCCCCAGAGTCAGGCCAAGGAGGAATACAAATGGATGGCCTTGGGAGAGCCACAGGACGCCGGCGCTCTTATACTGATTCCATGGTTTCTGAGATGCTAAACAACCTGAATCTGGAGGAGAACCCCAGTTCTGTTGCTGAAAAATGTGCAAGCCTTACTGAGAGAAGCAGGGCACAGGGAGAGCAGACTCAGCATGCTAGGACGGCAGGGACATCTTCAGATTCAATGGCCCAACCTGCTCAAACTCCACAGACCTCACCTTTCAGAAACCAGGTGCCCAACCCCACTTTGACTGGAACCTTAGGTCCTGGACCCCATGGGAATCAGGTGAGACACTGGCAGGCCTAGGAGTTACACTAGGACTCCTGTGAATCCTGTCCCCTTGCCAAGGGGAAACTTGGGGCTGAGAGGATGTGCGGCGGGAAAACCAAGCACTAAGACAAGCCTGAGAGCTCTGTGTTGCTTACAGGGAGCTGAGAGACATGACATGAACTGGTTCTCCAGGGCCCCAGGGCCAAATCCAACAGCAGGTACCCACTCTCCACCCCTATCTTTCTCCTGATCAATTCTTCACCAGCTTCTTCCTCAAGACCTACATATAGATCCAGAGTAGCTTGCTGGGTGGAGGGGAGAAAGGGCTAGAGGAGATCTAACCCAACCTTTTTATTTCGTAAAAGAAGAAACTGACACCCACTTGGAGAGGATCCCCCTGAGGCCACACAACAAAGCCTAGATTTGTCCCTGGGTGTTCTAACTTTCCCCAGCACCTGCTCTGTGAGCCCCTAGGTAGTCCAGAGGGCCTCCGAGCAAAAAAGATCAGGGTTTCAGACATCAGCGGCCACTCCTCTTAAGCCTCTGCAAACCCATTTCTGAAGAGGCAGCCTGAGAGGAAGGCACAGGGCACACCTCGACACAGCTACTGGCGGGCAGAGACCCCATATTCTACCTCCCAGCTTTGTCTTTCTGGCTGCTAAACTGTCCCACCACCACCACTATTTCTCTCAAAGGGACACCGTCTATTAACTTAAGTCACTGCTCTGCAGTGCAGATTGGACACTACAACCGGATGACTATGCCACAGAGACCTACCTTGTCCAGCCAAGACCTGCCACCTTCGGGCATGGGTAGGGGCCGGCAGCACCCCTGACCCCTGGCTTCAAAAGAAGGCTCCAAAGAACTTGAACCCTGGAGCGGGCCACAGGGCCAGTATAACCATAGTGGGAATTCAAGCACCTTCTAAGCTGCCTCCAGAGGTTGAGGAAGAGCACCACGCCTTGTGGCCCCCTACTTCCTTCAAGGACAGTCCTGCCTGCACCCAGACTGACTGTGATCTGCCCCCCAGATCCATAAATGTGAACCAATAAATGTGATGAAATGTTAGCCAAAGCCTGATGCAGGAGTCTGTGGCTCAGCCAGGGCAGGGAGGGACAAGAATGGGAGACAGGGTGCTGGCAGTGAGGGAGGGGGAGGCACTGTAGCTCGAACATGGCAGGAAATGGATAATGCTGGGGGCAGGGAGTGGGCAACGGCCTGGCACACAAGGTCAGGGTCCAGCCTGGGCAGGAAGGAATCCTGGAGGCCAGGCTCCCTAGGCAACTCTAATCTCAGGGCGGGAGCTTCCTCCAGAGCCAGGGACCTCACCCTAAGCCTAAACTCTTGGGGATAGAGGCTGTGGTCCCTTTTCTTCTTGGCTGCTGCCAGGCCCTGGGGAAGGGGGTGAGCCTCCTTGGGAATTCAGGAATTTGCAGACTCTGGCCCTTCTCCTCTCCTGCACAGTACCCCAGGCTCTCAGAGGCCAGCCCCCTTGCTATCACCCCTCCACACACGCTCACATGCAGGGTGCTTCCTAGGTGTAGGAGCCCTTTTGATTCTCACCTGGTGTCTGGGAGTGAGTGAAAAGTCATGGCTCTGCAGAGCTGCTCACAGATGTGCCCCTCCCATAGAGCTAGGGACAAGAGAGTGTGTCCAGTTAAGATGCTGCCACAACGCTGCCAGCTGGGCAGAGAGGTGAGGGAAATGGGTGCCCCCAACTCTGACCTAGACCCCAGGGCCCATCTGGCATTGGCACTAGGACCCACACTCTTCCCTACATTCCGGCAGGGCTGAAGCCCTGCCTCAGAGTCCCTACATCCAAACGTTCTGCCCCCGTGCTGGCACTTCCCATTTGGTCCACCCTAACTCACCCCTTCGTGTCTCTCCCACGGTCCACCGTCCCCTTCCTTGGGAACACCAAAAGTGTGAGGCAACGGTATTAGGAGAGACAGTCTGAGTGGGGGAGGAGGCCAGGGGAGTCTGGCTCGGCACGGGAAGGGGCTGGGCAGTCTCATCGAGGAAGTGGGAGGGGGCCAGCGGCGCCGCGAGGGAAGAGCCCGTCTCCAGGGGCTCTGAGCCACTAGCTTAGCGTCAGCGTGACTCTGCATCCAGTCCCCCCTGGGCTCCCTCGCCGGCCCCAGCCCACTCAGCTGCGGCAGCATCGCGGGCAGTGAGTTTGGGGGCCGGGGGGAACCCAGGGCTCCTATGCATCAACCCCAAGTCCCGTTCCCCTGGCGATGAGGCTTTTGCTAGGGCACCTCGGCAGTCTGGGTTGGAGGGAAGAGGAGGGAAGGATTGAAGAGTCCCCCCCACCCCACCCCACCAGCTAGAAGCGGGCTGGGAGGCGACAGGGAATGCCTGGAAGGAGACTGGATTGCCAAGAGGTTGGGGACGCTGGGTGAATGTGGCTTGGAGCAAGTGAGGCTCAGTGGGGCCTCCTGGGTCGCAGGAGGTAACCTGGTGCCCGGCCGTCCCCAGCCCTGGGGATCGGGGCGGGGGAGACCATGGCCCGCCTCTTCAGCCCCCGGCCGCCCCCCAGCGAAGACCTCTTCTACGAGACCTACTACAGCCTGAGCCAGCAGTACCCGCTGCTGCTACTGCTGCTGGTGATCGTGCTCTGCGCGCTCCTGGCGCTGCTCGCCGTCGCCTGGGCCACCGGCAGGGTGAGCCGCGCCTCTGGTGCGGGGCCTCCTCCTGGGCCTCCTCTCTGCTGCGGGGTCGCGGGAGGGCACTGCCTGGGCGCATTTTCGGGGTTGGGATTTGTGGGGTCTTCTTTTCCTTGTGTTTTCTTTGCTGGGAGCCGAGAAACAGGCGTTGAGCTCTACTACGAACTGTATTGACCCAGGGCAAGTCACTTCACCCTTCTGGGCCTTAGTCACGGGTCTGCATAGAGAGGTAGCTGAGTCCTGGATCCTTCTCTTTGCTGTCTGCGTTCTGACAGACCTTGGGAGCTTCTGTGGTCTACTGGTTCTACAATAAATCCATCACCGGATTTTCCAATTTTCCAGAGGGGAAATTCTACTAAGGCCCTGGGGAAATTCATTTCCTGGTTTTCTCTCCCTTTTTAGGGGATGTGGGGCAGACAAACCCTATAGACTCCCAGAAGGCGCCTCTCTCTCTGTCTCTGTCTCTGTCTCTCTCTCTCTCTCTGTCTCTCTCTCTCTCTCTCTCTCTTCTTTAGCATACAATAAACCCATTTCCAGTTTCTGTTTGGGGAGGAAGGGGGTCTTCATTTCTGGAAATAGCCTGCTCCGGGTTTTCTTTTTACTGCTTGGAGGCAAGGTGGGAAAATCGCCGGGCGCGGCCTATCCTTGTTGCTCCACCTCGAAGTCCGGGAAGAGGTGTGGACAAAGGGTGGGGACAGCGGTGACACTGAGGAGCTGAGGCAGGTGGCGAGATCGCAACCCTTACCCGCGAGGGAAGTGCGGGGCGCTGCGGGGCCAGGCGCCCCCTGCTGCCCGAGTGCTGCTTTGCGCCGCTCTCGAAGCTTCTAGCCACAGGCTCCGGGGACCGGGAATATCCCTAGCACATTGGCCAGATTTGGAGACATTCATCCCAAAGTGCCTTCTGTAAGATAGGATCTTTCGCTTGCTTCAGGACCCCAGGCTGGTACTATGATTCCCGTTTGACAGATGAGAAAACTGAGGCTCAGAACGGTCATAGATTGACAAATAGCCCATACCGGGAGGGAGCCAGGTCTTCTCGGTAGATGTCCCCGGCAGGCTCGGCCTTCGTGGCTGTATACAAGTAAGACACCAGGTTGAGCCATACGAGACCGCCAACTCTGGATAAAAGCAGTAGAACATAGGCAATTTCAAAAGGTTCAACCTAATATGAATGGCAAGCGGAAGTGCGCTGCCTCATTTTCGTACTTGAATTTGAGACTTTTCAGACCTGGGCTGAGGGGCTGCCAGCTCTTCCTCTACCTAGTTCGTTCCTCCTCGTGGTGGGCGAGCTCCTCAAGCTCCCCATCACGGCCCTGGCTCACGCACCCCTTCCCCACAGGAGCTGGCCTCAGACCCCAGCTTCCTGACCACCGTGCTGTGCGCGCTGGGCGGCTTCTTGTTGCTGCTGGGCCTCGCTTCCCGCGAGCAGCGACTGCAGCGCTGGACGCGTCCCCTGTCCGGCCTGGTGTGGGCCGCGCTGCTCGCGCTGGGCCACGGCTTCCTGTTCACCGAGGGTGTGGTGAGCGCCTGGGACCAGGTGAGGGGGCAGCAGGCGAAGAGGGGGTGGGGATGCCCCCAGCCTCCAACCTGCACCAGGCCATGAGCAGCACGATGCAGGCCTTCAGCTTCCTGTGCCCCGCTCCAGGTGTCCTTTTTTCTCTTCGTCATCTTCACCGTGTATGCCATGCTGCCCTTGGGCATGCGGGACGCTGTGGTCGCGGGCCTGGCCTCGTCGCTCTCGCATCTGCTGGTCCTTGGGCTGTACCTTGGACCTCAGCCGGACTCCCGGCCTGCACTGCTACCGCAGGTGAACACAAAGTAGCACAGACTGCGCCCAGGGCGGGCTCTGCTGCGCGCTAGTAGGTTCCTCTGGGAGCGAGGGGGTTGCTGAGCTGTGACGACTCCAAGAAACGCCGGACGTGGGACAGAAACACAGACCCACAGTGCCCTTGTGGAGCTGTTAGTGCGATGCCTACTGATACCAGAAGAGGGTTCTGGGCCCACAGGGAAGGGAGTCGTGGTTTGCTTGGGGATCAGAGAGGTGGCAACAGATGTGGAGGATGGAAAATCCGAGCTTGAGTAGTTTCGGGTGAGGGCGTGGGGGTGGGAGGTAAGGATAGTGGGGTGGTAGTCCAGATGAGAAACAGAAACCTAAGCTCACGCTGCAAGGTTTCTAGACCTAAGAGGCGGTGTTGGCGCCGCAGCCCAGCCTGGAGCAGGAAGCGTGGGGAAGGGGAACCGCCTCTGTGGATCCCACGTGTGCGTGGCACCACTTGTCCTGCAACACTTAGGTCTCTAACTGTAAAGCCCAGTTCTTTCCAGCTGGTCTTTGAGCTACCCCACAGCCATCCCCAACCCCATGTGGGTCCGGCACCCTCTGAGACTGGCGCTCACCCACAGCTGGCAGCAAACGCGGTGCTGTTCCTGAGCGGGAACGCGGTGGGAGCGTACCACAAGGCGCTGATGGAGCGCGCGCTGCGCGCCACCTTCCGGGAGGCGCTCAGCTCCCTGCACTCGCGCCGGCGCCTGGACACCGAGAAGAAGCACCAGGTCAGCCCTGCCTAGGAGGCCAGTCCGGACCAGTGCTCCCAGAGAGAGTTGTTTAGATTACATAATGGGGCTTCTTCACAAGCTGAGTGGCTTTGGGCAGGTCCTTTGACCTTCTCTTTCCTCTTTTGTAAAAAATGTGGCTCTTGGCCGGGCGTGGTGGCTCACGCCTGTAATCCTAGCACTTTGGGAGGCCGGGGCGGGCGGATTGTTCAAGGTCAGGAGTTCGGAACCATCCTGAGCGAGACCCCGTCTCTACCAAAAATAGAAATAAATTAATTGACCAACTAAAAATATATATACAAAAAATTAGCCGGGCATGGTGGCGCATGCCTGTAGTCCCAGCTACTCGGGAGGCTGAGGCAGTAGGATCGCTGAGCCCCGGAGATTGAGGGTGCTGTGAACTAGGCTGATGCCACGGCACTCACTCTAGCCTGGGCAACAAAGTGAGACTCTGTCTCAAAAAAAAAAAAAAAAATGTGGCTCTTGCCCACCTTGGGAGGTTATTGTGAGGTTCCAATAAACTGAGGCTTACGAAGGCACTTTAGAACATTATGATATTAAGGGAAGAGCTCTCATTCAGGAGTCGGTACTGGGGTTCAGTCCCAAAAGGTGATCAGCGCAGGATGGGGTGATGGAGCCCTGCTGTGCAAACACAGGACCTAGGGGAGCAGCCTGAAGAGCACTCCAGGGTGGGGCAGTGTGGGCTCCTGAGTGGTCTGGGGGCTGGGGATCCTCACTTTAGGGTGCAGGAGGGTTGGTGCTCATAGTGACCTCCTCCAGGAACACCTACTCCTGTCCATCCTTCCTGCGTACCTGGCCCGAGAGATGAAGGCAGAGATCATGGCACGGCTGCAGGCGGGACAGGGGTCACGGCCAGAGAGCACCAACAATTTCCACAGCCTCTACGTCAAGAGGCACCAGGGAGTCAGGTATGAGGAAGGATGGCTGCAGGGGAGGGCCCTGTGGGCTGAGACGCTGGCCCCACTGACAGCCTGCTGTGTGCAGCGTGTTGTATGCTGACATCGTTGGCTTCACGCGGCTGGCCAGTGAGTGCTCCCCTAAGGAACTGGTGCTCATGCTCAACGAGCTCTTTGGCAAGTTCGACCAGATCGCCAAGGTAAGAGGGTACCTCCCTCCCCAAGCTCACCCTCAAACATCCCATCCTGGGGAGCCCTTTCCAAGGGAAACTCCTGCCTACTCCATAGTCCATGCGGGCTCCCAGATACTCCAGCAGAAGAAGCCCTTTCAAACATGCCCAGTCATAAGGCTGTTCATCACATACCCCAAACCTGGAGAGAATTCTCAACACCTCTACAGATTTCCCAACCAAAATGCTCCCAAATATGCTCAGAACCCCAACATATGTGTCTCTGGACACTACAACCAGATCTAGAGAGATGTTTTGATGCTCTATCCTTGGGAGGCCCTTCCAAGAGAAATTTACACAACCCAGCCCAGCACCCTGCTCAGGTCCCAGGGATGCCCCCAGACAACAAATTATTGGATCTCCCTCTAAGCCCTCAATGCTAAGGCTGCTTCCACATGCCCACATCTGGGCACACCCTACACATGCCCAAACTGGGAAGAGCAACAGACATCCCAGCCCTTGGGAAACCCTCCTGAGACAGAGATCTGCATGGGAAACCTCTGTCAGCCCCAGGTCAAGTGAAGGGGGTCCCTAGATCTGACCTAGACACTTGCAACCTTGGAAGTTCTTTGGGAATACCACACTCGCTCCCCACTTTCCCCAACTCCCTCCTACTCCTCTGGCCTCTAACCAGGTTCTCCTACACACCCACACACACATTCCCAGGAGCACGAATGCATGCGGATCAAGATCCTGGGGGACTGTTACTACTGTGTCTCTGGGCTGCCGCTCTCGCTGCCGGACCACGCCATCAACTGCGTGCGCATGGGGCTGGACATGTGCCGAGCCATCAGGTCAGCTTGCGGGGCCGGGGGCGGGCAGGAGGAATGCAGAGGATGGATGTGGCATGTGGTGGCGGCAGGCTGGTGAAAGACATTCTTGAAAGAAGGAGGGGTGTGGCACAGGAAGGGCTGAGGACAGGACTCAGATCGTCCCACGCCTACTCTGCTCAGGAAACTGCGTGCAGCCACTGGAGTGGACATCAACATGCGCGTGGGCGTGCACTCTGGCAGCGTGCTCTGCGGAGTCATTGGGCTGCAGAAGTGGCAGTATGATGTATGGTCCCACGACGTCACACTGGCCAACCACATGGAGGCAGGTGGCGTACCAGGGTGAGACCTGGGCCCTCGGTGGTTACAGCAGGAAGCCAACCAGGCAGCCCACATGCCGCCACCCTTTTCTCAGTTCCTTAAGATGGACACGATCCCATGTGGGGCTCAGGGAGATTCTGGGGTGCAGGGAGAGGAGCTGGGAGGCACCTCCTGTAACACGGGGCCTTTCTTGAAGTCAGACCTCCAGGAATGATCTTAGAGAGAAATGACAGGTTTGGAGGCCTTCCTGCTGACTCCCACTGCCCACTCCTTGCAGACGAGTGCACATCACAGGGGCCACCCTGGCCCTGCTGGCAGGGGCTTATGCTGTGGAGGATGCAGGCACGGAACACCGGGACCCATACCTTCGGGAACTAGGGGAGCCAACCTACCTGGTCATCGATCCCCGGGTAAAAGCTCAGCCTGCCCCCCATGGGCTGGCCCATGCAAACCACTCCACAGCCAACAGGCTTGATCTCTCCTGTGCCAGAGATTGAGTTCCTGGGTCCTAGTGGGGGTTGGGGACAGAAGCCTCAAAGGGGTTTGAGGAGAATGGGAAATTGTCTGTGATCCTGACTCTCAGCCCTCGTGTGCCCCAGGCCAAGGAGGAGGATGAGAAGGGCACTGCAGGAGGGTTGCTGTCCTCTCTTGAGGGCCCCAAGCTGCGCCCATCACTACTGATGACCCGCTACCTGGAGTCCTGGGGTGCCGCCAAGCCTTTTGCCCACCTGAGCCATGTAGACAGCCCTGTGAGCACCTCCACCCCTCTCCCGGTATGTGTGCGTTCATTGCAAGCTCCAGAGTTTAGGTAACCCCGCTCTTGTCCTCAGGCATACTCCCAGCCTCCTCTACCCCCACCATCAGTGAGTCATTCAATAATTTGCAACATCCTAAGGTCCTGAACTGTCTAGTCACCCTAGTCACTGGTTCAGGCCCCTGCTTGCCCTTCCTTCTAGATAAAGAGCAGAGATCACGGCTGTCCAAACTGACCTCAGAGAAGTTTCGGGATCCCCATAGACACCATGTCCATTGCTTGCAGCCTCCACTCAGAGAGCCCCTTCCCCTGACAATACAAAGGCAGTAGACCCCACTTCCTCCCGACTCTGACTCCAGTGCTGCATTCCCATGCCCCGGCAATGTCTCTGTTTAGCTCAATTCCTGCAACTGCGTGCTCTCTTCTTCAGTCCCCCCAACACTGGGGAGTGGAGGGAGCTGTTGGCAGCAGTGGTTCCAGAAAGTACTTAATCCCAAGCCTTACCATGGGGCGGGGAAGAGGTCAGAAGGGTTCCACTGGCAAGAGGGAGAAGAAGGAAAGCACCACGGCCAAGAAGACTTTTGCAGGATGAGACTCCAGGGTGGGGGTGGAGTGGCGTGTGGGGTTTGCTATGACGACCTTGACCTCGGGTGCAGCTCCCGTGGTAGGCATGCCCGCCAGGGCCCATGCTAGACTTCCTGCCATTCGTCACTGGTGTGCAGGCTAGGAAGTATCAGGACGGAGGAGCGGGACCCCTTGTTCAAGAGTATATCCTGAGGCAGGACCTTACCAGCCCAGAAAGTCACTTCTCAGCTCCTGAAGTTCCAGGGGCTCAGTGAAATGTTAGAAATCCTGAGAATCACCACCAGCTTACTCTTAGATAATGGGGAACTTCGAGCGGTGGGGCATTGTTTGTGCTGGTGTGTACCATTCGTCCTTTCCTTCCTTCCGCATTTTTTTGAATACCTACTCTGTGGCAAGCAATAGGCTATAGCAATGAATAAGATGTTTCCCATCTTCAAATAGCTTACAGATGTTGGGGAGCAGGTAGGTAGTTTGAAAAAATTAGTCCCAGACATAGATGCATAGATGAGCCCAAATCTAGAACTTACCATTCCCTCTCAGTATGTCTCTCTCCCTCTCCCATGCACCAGGTTTCGGTTTGGGGGTTGAAGTGACCCTGTGACTCTGCCCCCTTCACATGAGCCAAGGGGAGGAGGGAGGAATGGTCACTATGCTTCTTGTGCTAGACAGCGGCCCGCAAAGCTTCATTCTCTCGGTTGCTCTATCTGCCTGCTCCTTTCCTTTCTCTACATACACTGTGTTCATTTTGGTGGAGAGAACGACTATAGTCAGGTTTATTTCCCTTCCTCTTCCCCTTTCTTCTCCATTCTTCGGTCATCTGCCCCCACTACCTCCCGGCCCAGCACGGTTGACCTCAGGAGAGATAAGAGAGACAGGAGTCAGAATGTTCTGCATTGTTACTTCAACTTAAACTAACAAGGATTTTTTGGGCGTCCAAGGGTGATGGGAAAGTCCTGCGTTTGGACTGTGTGCAGCCGTAAGGGAAGGTGGGGCAAAGAAGGCACAGGCCACTATAGAAGACGGAGTGGCCCAGTAAGTGACAGAAACTATGAGGAAATAAAGGGCAGAAAGACCCTGAGGTCTAAAGAGTCTGGAGGACCCTTGAAGGAGGAAATGGGGTTTGAACTTCCCCTTCAAGGGCAGTTGGGAATTGGGAGAGAAAGAGAGAGAGACAGAGAGAGAGGAACCCGCGCTGTGGAATGCGCATGTCAGGGACACAGTGCAGGTCACAGCCTGTTTCCCCCATGCGCAGCGCTCAACCCCACCCCACCCTGTGCTCTCCCAACAGGAGAAGGCCCTGGCTTCCTTCGGCCCCCAGTGGAGCCTGGACCGGTGAGGGGACCTGAGTGTGTCTGGTGGTGGGGACGTCTGGATGACCCACCTCCATCCCCCTGGGGGGCTGCTCCTGCAGGTAGCCCAGACCCCTTTGAGGGTCTCTGTGGTGACAGGCATGGCTCTCACGGTGCAGGGCCCGCAGCCCCCGGGGACTGGACGATGAGCTGGACACTGGGGATGCCAAGTTCTTCCAGGTCATCGAACAGCTCAACTCTCAGAAGTAAGAAGAGCAAAGAGGGCGGGGAGGGCCGGGCGGGGCCTGGGGCTCACGGCAGAGGAGGGTGGCAGAGGAGGGCGGCGCTCCCTGAGGGCCTGGCCACCCCTCCTGCCCTGCCCTCCCCTGTCCTGCCCTCTCCTCTCTGTGCTCACGTCCCCCACTTCTCACCAGACAGTGGAAGCAGTCGAAGGACTTCAACCCGCTGACACTGTACTTCAGAGAGAAGGAGATGGAGAAAGAGGTGGCTGGTGGGGGTGGGGGGCACAAAAGGATTTCCCAGCTTTAGTCCTTGGCCCTGAGGAGGGCTCAGCCCTTGCAGTCTCCCCAGGTCTGCTCAGTCTGTGATCCTGGGGTGAGGAGTTTGTGCCTCTCTCCTAAAGTCTCCCTATAGCTTGAGTTACTGGGTGGTGGTGAGAGGCGGGAGCTGGTGGGGGCTACATGGAACTGACCTGGAGGGTGGGGTGGTGAGGCTGCGGAACCACCCTTGCCTGGAAGTGCCGCCTTTGAGATGAATCGCAGGCCTGGGGCCTTTCTATACCCCAACCTCCTCCCATGCAGTATCGACTGTCTGCACTTCCTGCCTTCAAATACTATGCAGCCTGCACCTTCCTGGTTTTTCTCTCCAACTTCATCATCCAGATGCTGGTGACAAACAGGTGAGGGAGGCCCTGGCTCTCACACGCTGATCACCTCGCCCCTCCTGACCCCAGACCCACACTCTCTTTCTTTACCTCCTTCCCCTTAGCTTCAGGCACTTTCGTATGGAGGGGGCGCTGTTCTGGGGAACCAGTGATAATCACAGCCCTCATCTTAATACTGGAATTTCTATACAACCTGAACATTTTCACATGCCTGTCTCTTTTGGTGCTAACAATATCCCCATGAAAGAGGTTTCCTTCTTGTTGAGAAACCCCCAAATCCCAGCAAATGAGTGAGCTTAAAAAGTAGGCCCTCATTCCTAGTCCACAGCTAGGAGTCCAAAACTCAGCCTGGTTAAAGAGCTTGGGCCTAAGCTGGGCATGATGGCTCACACCTGTAATCCTAGCACTCTGGGAGGCTGAGGCGGGAGTATGGCTTGAGGTCAGGAGTTTGAAATCAGCCTGAGCAAGAGTGAGACCCCCGTCTCTACTAAAAATAGAAAAATTAGCCAGGCATGATACTGCAATGCCTGTAGACCCAGGAGGCTGAGGCAGAAGGATTGCTTGAGCACAGGAGTTTGAGGTTGCTGGGAGCTAGGCTGATGCCACAGCACTCGGGCCTGGACAACAGAGTGAGACTCTGTCTCACAAAAAAGAAAAAAAAAAATAGAGCTTGGGCCCAAAGTCCCAGAGAGTGGTCTGACACAGCCTCTGCCATTTATATGAGCCCCTACCCCTTACCTTCCTGGCCCTGTGCCACCCCAGCACTGCCCTAGACCCTTCAGCTTGCCCAAAGATCAGGACGTGATATCTTTTATCAGCCCAGACCCCAGGGGCAGCTGAGCTACCCCCCAGGATCCCTCCCTACTTCCCCTCCAGACCGCACACAGCACCTTCACAGCACACGGGGACCATGTGGCACTTCAAGGCCTCACTTTTGTCTCCCTTTAGGCCCCCAGCTCTGGCCATCACCTATAGCGTCACCTTCCTCCTCTTCCTCCTCCTCCTCTTCGTCTGCTTCTCAGAGCACCTGACGGTGAGATTGGCTGGGGGGTGAGAGTGGCAAGCGGAGCCCTGGCTGTGACCTGACCTGAAGAAGGCGCCCCAGCCCACAGCTAAGACGCCCACGCTTCCTCCACAGAGGTGTGTCCTGAAAGGCCCCAAGATGCTGCACTGGCTGCCTGCACTGTCTGGCCTGGTGGCCACACGACCAGGATTGCGAGTAGCCCTGGGCACTGCCACCATCCTCCTCGTCTTTGCCATGGCCATTACCAGCCTGGTGAGGACAGGGGGACCCCTATCCACCCCCATCAGGGCATGCTGGGCCTGCCAGGGACTGACAGGGAACCCCTAGATTTGGGAGAGCAGCTGGACTAAGGCCAGGGGATGCTAGAAATGTTGTACAGGCAGAAAGAAAAAAAATTAGTCACCCACGATCTACCATCTAAGCCTAATTATATCTAGTAACATTTTGGTGGATGTCCTTCCTGTCTTTTTTCTGTGTAAGCAGGTATTTATTACTTAGGTTGCTTGGCTGATTTTTCAGAACTTAGAATCATTTCTAGAATCCCAACCCTAGAAGGCACCTAGGAATCATCCCTCAGCCAAGCTGCAGAAGAGGAAGCTAAGGCCCGGAGAGGTTAAGTGGCTGCTAAGAACTCACATGGTGGATCCCTGGCAGACTAGTTCTCTCAACACGCCTCCCTCAACCCCTCCTGCCCCCTACCAACCAGAAATAGTGAAATCCACCCCTTTGGATGAGTCTGGCCCTGACTCGTCCCTGGGTCGGCCAAACCCAGCACAAGCCACATTGTGCCCCAGCAGCTGCCTGCCCCTCAGCTCCACATCTCCTCTGCAGTTCTTCTTCCCAGCATCGTTGGACTGCCCTTTCCGGACTCGCAATGTGTCCTCCATGACCTTCAACCTCTCCTGGGAGCTCCCGGGGTCCCTGCCTCTCATCAGCGTCCCGGTGAGTGCTCCTACGCAGCCCTGAGCCCCCTTCTCCAGGTCCTTCCTCAGCTCCCCACCTACCTCCTTGGTTGAAGAACACGCCATCCTGTGGATTAGGACAGACAACCTAAGTCACACCCAGTGTATGTTTGTGTGTAGGACACCCCCCTGTTCCCCAGGCAGGACCTGGGCCAGGGAGGGATAGACCCTCAGTGTCCTGACCCTCTTGCCTGTCCCCGCAGTACTCCATGCACTGCTGCGTGCTGGGCTTCCTCTCCTGCTCCCTCTTCCTGCACATGAGCTTCGAACTGAAGCTGCTGCTGCTCCTGCTCTGGCTGGTGGCCTCCTGCTCCATCTTCCTGCACTCCCACGCCTGGCTGTCCGACTGCCTCATCGCCCGCCTCTATCTGGGCCCCTTGGACTCCAGGTGTGCATGGCCGCTGGACAGAGGTGCCCGGGCCCTCTGGGACAGGGGTGAGATGGGACATGGCAGAGTTGTCCTCACCTCACTGACCTGAACCACCCACAGGACAAAGTGGGAAGGAGGCTGAGGCCTTCATGGGTACTAAGGGGAGGGAGGAGGTCATCGGGAAGGGGCAGAGTGACAGGCAACCCCAATCCATGGGCCCCTCAGGCCGGGAGTGCTGAAGGAGCCCAAACTGATGGGAGCTATGTCCTTCTTCATCTTCTTCTTTACCCTCCTTGTCCTGGCTCGGCAGGTAAGTCACCCAGCTCAGCCCTCTAGGGCCTCCCTATGAGTGGTGAGGCTGGGGTCCCCATATTTGTGACTTGGTCTCTCTCATCTCCAGGGTTGAGGCCAAACTGGGAGCTTCCAAGAGAGGCTTCCTGCTCCCTTTCTTTCTACTTCACTCCCCAAGGGGAGTGCCCTCAAGTTCTCCCACCCCCAATCTGGGAAAGCCCATGCTTAGAAAACACCTGCCACCAATTCTGTGCCCCTGGTTTGCATATAGTTTCAAGGGTAGTCTCTTCTCCGAGGACAGCTGTGCCTTAAGCCTATCTCTAAACTGGAGGTGGGGGTGGGGATGGTTTCAGGCATGGTGGAGTGGGGGGAATGAACACTCAGGAGCTGGGGCCTCCCCTGCACCATGTCCCCCCATGCCTCCCTGGTGACCCCCAGAATGAGTATTACTGCCGCCTGGACTTCCTGTGGAAGAAGAAGCTGAGGCAGGAGCGGGAGGAGACAGAGACAATGGAGAACCTGACTCGGCTGCTCTTGGAGAACGTGCTCCCTGCACACGTGGCCCCCCAGTTCATTGGCCAGAACCGGCGCAACGAGGTGACTCCCGAGCCCCGATGCCATAGGGACTAATTTCTGATGGAAGTCTCAGCCCCTGGCCCATCCTCCCTGGACTCCCCCACAGTGGGTCGTCCAAGCCTTTGTCCCTGTCAGGTGTCTTTGTTTTCACAAGGTCTCAGGCTCTGTCTTTGCACAGAATTTCTGCATTTCCAATTCTTACTTGGAAGGAGTGTCTTCACTAACTCACTGCCATGCCTCCCAGAAGCTTAGTCAAGTGTTGATGGGAGTTGTCTGGAAGATACCTGTCCACCTGTCTCTGTAGACCTGCACTATCTAATATGGTAGCCATTAACCATAGGTGACCATTTAAGTTTAAATTTTAATTAGTTTTAACAAAAATTCAGTTCCTCAGTTGGACTAGCCACATTTCAAGTGTTCAACAGCCACATGTAGCCACTGGCCACCATATTAGACAGCGCAGATAGAGAACATTGCCATCATTGCAGAAATGTCTGTTGGATGCTGCTGCTCTGATCCTCAAAAATCTTGCTCTAGTCAGACCATCAGAAAGTCACCCACATATTTGCACCATCTTATTTATACTACCACGCCTGGCCCTCCACTATGGAAACGGTCTTGGCCTATATTGAGGGGTATTAAAATAAACAGCTAAGGGGCTATTTCACAGCCTATTCCCCACCACCTGCTCTCCTCTTAAGATAAGGAGTAATTCCACTTCTGGTTTCTCCCCTTATAGACAAAGGGAATCTTGCAACTGATCCTGTTTTTCTCTTCGCTTTAGTTGCTAAAAATTTGGGAGCCAGAATAATCTAGGACTAACAAGGATTTCGTGGCACCCATTTTGTGAACTGGTCTGAGCCTAGTTTCAAGGGTAGTCTGTCTCCGAGGGCAGCTGCACCTTAAGCCTATCTCTAAACTGGAGGTGGGGGTGGGGCTGGTTTCAGGCATTGGGGGGGCAATGAACACTCTGGAGCTGGGGCTGTGAACCAACCTCAGATCTGATTGATCTGAGTCTATCTTTATTTTCTTACCCATATTTTCTCCTTGCCCTAAATTCCCTATTGTTGCTTTATTTTATCTTCCATGTTGCAGCTATCTTTGTAAGGTGACTTAACATCTTTCAGCAATAAGATAGGATTAGGATATAAAAATAATTCCCACTGACATAATCCCAGTTCTAGGAGTGACTCCCTTCTCATTGCCATCAGATGATCCTGACCAAGTCTCTGTCTCTCCTGGAATCACAATGAGATCCAATCTGGACTCCTGTGTCACATCCCTGGGGTTCTCTGGCCCTATTTCTCTCTCTCCCTCCCCAGCCCTCCTAAACAGGGGGACTGGGAGTGTGGACACAGAGAGGAGAACCTTGTGCCGCCCCAGAGGGGAGGAATGTGACATGCACCCCTCACCCCAGTCTCCTGCCCTCCCAGGACCTCTACCACCAGTCCTACGAGTGTGTTTGTGTCCTCTTCGCCTCGGTCCCAGAGTTCAAGGAGTTTTACTCTGAATCTGACATCAACCATGAGGGGCTAGAGTGTTTGCGGCTGCTCAATGAGATCATTGCTGATTTTGATGAGGTGACAACTCCAATGGTCTCCCAGACCCTATATCCTGGATTCTAGAATTTCTCACCAGTTCCTCCTTCCACTTTGCTTTCCTGGCCATGAGGCCAATCCTCCCCTCCCTCGCACCCCTCTCCTCCTCATCCCCCAGCTCTCCCCTCTCCAGCAACATGTCTGTCCTGCCCCCTTCCCAAAGGCCTGGGGCTGGGCTGCTGGGAGAGGGGAGGGAGAGAGCAAGAGAAACTGGGACAGGCCCCCTCTCTCTGCAGCTGCTCTCCAAGCCCAAGTTCAGTGGAGTGGAGAAGATCAAAACCATCTGCAGCACCTACATGGCAGCCACAGGCTTAAATGCCACCTCGGGACAGGATGCACAACAGGTATAGCAGCTCTTCCTTACCTACCGACCCTTCTCTGGGCTCTCACTGATGGGCCCCTAAGTGGGACTTATTTCTGTGCCCTCATTGGCCCATCCTGGGGGCGGTCCCATTGCCAGGACGCTGAGCGCAGCTGCAGCCACCTTGGCACCATGGTGGAATTTGCGGTGGCCCTGGGGTCTAAGCTGGACATCATCAACAAGCACTCCTTCAACAACTTCCGCCTGCGTGTGGGTGAGGACCCCCCCTGCCAGGGCAATCTGGCATCTCCTCACCTTTTCAAACTCTCCCCACTCCAAGTCCTTTGTTAGCTGCTCCCGGCTCATCCCTGGGCTCCCTTTCCTGACTCACTCCCTGGGATGGGGCATGAGGCTGCCGAGCCAGGAGCTGTGAGGCCCCTTCCCTAAGCCACACTCCTCCAGCCTTAGAGACCTCTTCTCTCCTCTAAAGCCCCCAGGCCCTTCTCTCTTCTCCCCAGTTCCTTGAGCCTCCTCTTTTCCTCTTCCTCCTCAAAGTTCCCCTCATCAGTGTCCCTCATTACCACACCCTTTATCAGGGTTGAACCACGGACCAGTAGTGGCCGGAGTGATTGGGGCCCAGAAACCACAATATGACATTTGGGGCAACACAGTGAATGTGGCCAGCCGCATGGAGAGTACAGGAGTCCTTGGCAAGATCCAAGTGAGAGAGCCACATTGGAGGTATGGGGGGAAGGGGGAGAAGAATGGGGCCACCCCCATACTTGCTCACACCCCTCCAATTGTAGGTGACTGAGGAGACAGCCTGGGCCCTGCAGTCCCTGGGCTACACCTGCTCCAGGCGGGGTGTCATCAAGGTCAAAGGCAAAGGGCAGCTCTGCACCTACTTCCTGAACACAGACTTGACACGAACTGGACCTCCCTCAGCCACCCTAGGCTGAGACCCCCAACCCCTCCAAGATCCTCAATAAAGAGATGTCAGAAGTTGCTGATATGGCTGTGGATCACCTTCTCCTTGCCCCTCAGCAGGATGGCTTTTTCCCAGGCCAGACTGAGAAAGTGTGTGTGTGTGTGTGTGTGTGTGTGTGTGTGTGTGTGTATGCTAGAAGGGAGTGATTCTTCTCACATGCTCAAAAAGAGGGCTGTCTCAGCCTCCCTGCCTGCCTGCCAACCTGATTCGAGTATTTTGTACACTTCAGAAGCATAAAGAATTTAGCCACATGACTCAAACAAGGATTTGTCCTTTCTTGTCCCCTACCCACAAATATTGGAATGGAATATCCAGGGGAATGCCATTTGACTTTTATTCATTCAACAAACACTAAATAAGCACATATTTTGTGCTTACTGTGCAGAATGGGCAAGAGGTCTGAAAATAATCTATCAGATCTTTCCTCCCAGTTTCAGCTGCTGTTCTCAGATTGGCCCACCCTGCTTTCCAGTAAGGACCTATAGATAGTTCGGGGTTCTCCTGCTCTCAGGCCCATCTCAGGCACCCCTGCTTCCTTTTGCATCCTTCCCCGCTGATGCTAATCTATTAAGTGGCTGTTATAGAATCGATGCGTCACTCTCGGGCTCATATTTTTGGGTCCATGGGTGATATCCTGACATCCTAGGTCTGTTGCAGATGTTGCACATGTATTTTTGTTTTTGCTCTCCTAGTTGCTCTTTCATTTTTTTATGGGAAAGATACAAAAAGTACACTGCTGCCACTGCTACTGCCATCTTCCTAAAATCTGTCAGACCAGAGCTGGGCCAAGGTTCTCTAAGGTAACAGTCACTCCCAGGAAATAATAACACATCCCCCTCCTATGGGAATCTTTGTTTCCTAGGGCTGCCCATGGCCACATGTTGTAGGGACTGGCAGATGCCAATGTGCAGGCTTCTAGGGCATAAGATCTGGTAGCTTGGTCCTCAAGTGAAAGAGGAAGATTATTGGCAGGAAGTTGAAGTCATGGTAACAAGGATACTTATCACAGGCTTCAGGGAAGACCGTTCACAGTAGTGTTTTCTCAGAAGGTCTCTGAGTCACAGATTCCGGAGTGACAAACCTACATGCATGGTCTTCCTAGACAAGCTCCTTCAGGAGTCCATAAACTATGTTTTTCTAAGTATGATCTGCAGACCACCTACTTCAGAATCAAGGGAGGGAGGTTCTATGTCTGTCATTGTGTCCCTTCCAAAACTGTAAATCAGGGGAACTGAAGGATGTGACTCTCAGCTACTGATAGGGTCCCCATCAGGATGCCTGCAAGCACCCCCTGGCCTATAACACATGCCCCACTTACAGGGTTGACCTGATTTCAGACTTCAGTTTTAATGGTACAGCTACCCACAGGAGCCAGGCTGGAGCACGCTCTCATTCTGTCCTGGCTCGCCCCATCCCTCCCGCGTCCCCCGCCCCCAAGCCCCTGCTCCTCTTCCTGATACAGAAATGGGTCCGCCCAGAGTGAGGCACTACTCTGAGAGGGAAACGAGCATCCTTCCACCAGGCCTAGGTCAGTTCGCTTCCCTCGCCGGGCTCGGGCTCCGGAGAGGCGAGGGCGCCCTTCACGGTCTGGCCCAGGCTGCCCCCGCGGCGGGCGCTGGACCCCTCGGAGCCCGTGCCCTCCAGCAGCTTGGCGAGGAAGCCCACGCCTGCCGAGCGCAGCAGGCCGCCGCCGGCGCACGCGTACAGCACGGGGTTCACGCTGCTGCTCAGGAAGGCGAGCGCGATGAGCACTTTGCGGGCCAGGCTCAGCCGCTGCCCCACGGGCCCGGACCCCGCGGGCTGGCCGGCCAGCGCGCGGCCCGCCTCGGCCAAGTTCACCAGGTGGTAGGGCAGCCAGAAGGCCGCGAAGGCCAGGATGATGAGTGCCACCAGGCGGCCGGTGCGCCGGCTGCGGCGGAAGCGCCGAGCCCGTAGCCGGCGCCCGATGTCGGAGTAGCTAGCCACCACGGCCGTGAAGGGCAGCAGGAAGCCCGTGATGGCCTCGAAGAGCAGATGGAAGGCCATGTGGCTTTCGTTGGTGTACTTCGAAGTGCAGAACAGGCTCCTGTTGTTCGGTAACAAGATCACCTTGCGGTACGCGAGGACAGGTGTGGCCAGCAGAAAGGACACCACCCAGATGCCTGCCAGCACTCTCCTGGCAATCGTCTTGGTGCGCACCTTCTGGGACACAAAGGGGCGGGCCACCGCCAGCGAGCGGTCCAGACTCATGGCGGTGATCAGCAGCACGCTGGCGTACATGCTGACTCCGCAGATATAGTGGCACAGGCGGCAGCCAGCCAGTCCAAAGCTCCAGGTGCCTCGGGCCAGGAAGTGGAGGAAAAAGGGAGCAGTGAGCAAGACGGCCAGGTCGGCCAGGGCCAGGTTCAGCACCAGCAGGGCAGTGACGGAGCGCTTCCGCATCCTTTTCAGGATGCTCCACACCACAAAGCTGTTGCCAGGGAGCCCCACAGCCAGCGCCACCGACAGTAGGATGATAGCCAGCACAGGGATGAACATGACACTTAGTGAGGAGGTTGCTACAGGAGAGGTAGTGTTTGTTGCCATTGGAAAGACCTGGAGAGCAAGGGCGGACACACGCATGAGGGTAGAGGACCAAGGGTGTCCTGACACCCTGCACACACCTAATCTGAGCACTCTGGTCTGTATCCAAGCTCAGCAGCATCAGAGGCGCCTCAGAAATATACTGCCCCCATCACTGCCTGGCCCCCTGTCTTAAGGGGTCTGGTTGAGTAGAAAGACTAATTTCCTAATTGGGCCATGGGGCCCCTTCCTGCTCACAGACCCAATTGCAAAATGCACAGTGGCGGCAGCAGCAGCATTTCCGGACCTTTTCAGCCTCTTTCCCTTAGGAGACCTGAAGCCCATAACCAGTCTGGGAGGCTTTCCTCACCAATTCTGCACTCTTGAAAAGCTAGCTCCTCTGTCCCCTCCCAGGCCCTTACCCCTCAGTCCCACTTCCTCCAGTCACCTACCTACTCTCCCCAGAGATGCCCAGGGTTCACCAGGAATAACAGTGATGGGGAGGAGTTCACGGACAGGCGACGAGGACAAATCCTTTCAATTCTTTTTACACTGGCCAAGCTTGCTTTGGAGATTCATTTGCACTTTCTCTCATGGCTACACCTGTCCCACCCCCACCCCCACTCCCAGGATACTTACTTACAAGCTTTTCCAGGGACTGGTTGGAAGCTGGTGCCAATCCCAGGGGCAGGGCAAAGTGGTATAGCCTATCCCTGGATCTGTCCCAGTGCCAGGGTCCTGGCCCTGGGTCTGGGTGCTGTCAGCCAAGTCGGCCAGAGAGGAAGTGCTACAAGGCAAGGGAGGCAGAAGACGCATCTTCCTGAGGGTGGGGCTGAAACCCCCACCCCTCCCTTCACTAGGAGGGGGAAAGTCTTTGTGTTCCAGAGCAGTTCATTGGGGAGGAGGACTCTTGAGGGGTGAGGCAAGATGAGAAGAGCCCAGGAAGGGGCAGCGAGAGAGGAAAAGGGGTGGGGGAAGTGAGTAGGCTAGGGTGTGGCCTCAAGATGCAGGTCTAGACTGGAGAATTGAACAAAGTAATGAATCGTATCATGTAAGAGAAGGAGAGCAGGAAACCAGAAAGAAGAAATGGGTTCAGATTGAGAGGCTAGAATACTGTTATCTTTATATCTTGTGTGAATAATGTAGATTTTTAGGTTAATAGGAAGTGTGGGTTAGAGCTGTAGATTCTGGGTCTGGGTTTGGGTTTGGTAACATCATGGTTTAAAGAGGGCACGTTGGTGAATGCTGAAGAGAGCAGCACTGTGCCTTTGGCTTCAGTTCAAGCCATGACATGGGTTGCAGGAAGAGGGCCATCTTCAGCACGCTCCATCCCGCTCCTTACTCCAATGGATTGGTTCCATTCAGGTCAACCAATTCTCCAAACTCTTTGGTAGAAGGCAAAATCCAGATGGTCTCCTTGGTATCACACAGAGTGCCAATTTCTTCCCTTTCCCCCAACCACTTGCCTTGCACTTGTCCATATGGTTACCCTGCCAGGTCTGGATTTAAGATCTGGGTGCTGGGCAAGGAGACTGGGAACCACCTCTCTCCTACCTTCCTATACCTACTGTCCAGTTCTCTTTTAGACACACAAAGAAGGTCAAGGCTAAGGTAGGCTTGGCTGAGCATGAGGAGTGGGAGTGAGGGGTCAGGAGCTGTGATGCCTCATGCCCGCCTGCCAAGAGGGAAAGTCAGGAATGTGAAAAGGTAAAAATCCCCAAAAGGGTCACTGTTCCCTTCCCTGTATGGAGAGACATCTCCTTTCCTTGAAGTCTCCTGCAGAAACTAAGAACTAAAGATTCCTTCCTTCAATCTGACCATGAGCTTTTTGGCTTCCCTTTCAACTCTGTCACTTCTCAGGAAAGATTCAGGGTGTAATGGTGTAATGGTATTTGCTGAGGTCCCTCACCCTTTCCAGAGCCCCCTTTTTTGAGAAAAGCCAGAGCAACATTAACCCAGCAGCTGTCAAGAAGAGGATATGATGAAAAGAAATGGGCTGAAACCGCAGCAAGAACTGAAGGCAGAGTTGAGGAAGGGCTTTCTGGTCACACTGGGTGTGCAAGATGAAGAATATGTAACAGAGGAAGTTAGGGAACTTCTGCCCCAGCACACGAGGTTAGAAAGAAGCCCCCAAAGTCTGTGTTTGAAGACAGAAGCTTCCAGCTCAGAGTTCCAGGGGTCAACCAAAGGCCGCTACAGATAAAGGCTGGGTTATTTGTCAGGCGCAGTGACTCATGCCTGTAATCCTGGCGCTCTGGGAGGCTGAGGCGGGAGGATCATTTGAGGTCAGGAGTTCGAGACCAGCTGAGCAAGAGCGAGACCCCCATCTCTACTAAACATACAAAAATTAGCTGGGTGTGGTGGCACACACCTGTAGTCCCAGCTACTTATGAGGCTTAGACAGGAGGATTGCTTCAGCCCAGAAGTTTAAGGTTGCTGTGAGCTAGGTTGATGCCATGGCACTCTAGCCTGGGTGACAGA